AGCCACAAATAGGAACTGGCCAATTCCAATAGAATGACCCTGCGGCTGACAGTTATCTTTTCATCAGATTGGCTCTCATCAAAGAAGCATTGGTCGGTGTGTGAGAATTATTCATGAGAAGTTGTCTTGCATCTGGACCCTCCGTCCGGCTGAATAAATATTTTCGAAGATTTTTTAGCATAAATCTTCCAGATGTGGTTTGTGAACCAAACGGACACCGCTACAACAACATTTGCGATGTGCATCTGGCAATTTGCAACAGCTGAGATGTGTCTCTCTTAAGTCAGGGCGACTACAAGAAACACACATGCATTATTCACGTGTTGATTTACGTGCAATGATATGCTTCTCACAACATTTCGACAAATTGAAATAAATACATCAAACAGAATTTAGGCAACGGGTGTTCTCATTAATTTCGTATTTTATTGCTCAAATTATTAGATCATAATTGCTCACAGAATTATATATATGGTTGTCGAGACGAAAAGTTAAATGGAAAGAAACCGTTTCAGGCATAGTTGAATTTGTTTTACTCGTTCTTTACTTTCAATATTAATTTGAATTTAAATGTTGAAGGGACATTTCTGAAGTCCACATTTGAGTTGATCTATATTGAAGAACTGCCGAGATCGCTTACATGTATTGTTTTGCCAACCCATATGTCGTACTGACAGGCTCAAGCGACAGTGTATTCTTTTCGAAAAGCTTAACTGAAACTTTGAGTAATGATTATGCCATGAAAAATTAATATCTTCTTTCTTTAATTCAAACATAACCTATGAATTACTTATGCGCAAACCTTTGTGCGAAAGACACCAGAATGTAAGAAGGGCGTCATTATAGCGTTTAGTGGGCAGGTGACACGCGACCTTGTCTTAGAACAGGTGCCCGCGACCGGCGGTGTTCAATATAACAGAATTTTTTATGAGCATACGGAACGTCTTTTATAAAATGCATTATTTTTATGACAAGACGCTTCTAATCTAAAATTCACGTTAGGTTCAAACAAGCCATGACTTCATTCTCGGCTGTCTGACCCCTGACCTTACGCCATGTTGACATCAGTGCACGTGCGGCTGATTTCAAATATTGCGAGTTTCACTACCACTTCAACACTGATACTTGTTTCAACAGATGGACTGCAGGTACGTACATGAGGCAAATTCATAATTAATCGACCGTTTTTTTTCAAACCATATGCGTTAAATGTTGAACATGCTTTAAATATGCAGGCGGAAGAACGGCGCTGAACAGTCTGCAAATATCACGGTTGATTAATTAGCGGTCAAATCCACATCAACGCCGTTCCGTATTTTCTATGCATCCCTTTTTGTGTTTATGAGTATTTTTTTACTGTTTATGAGAATATAGGACCAGATTATGAACGTTTGTTTGTAGTCTTAGATAAAATAGATCTACCTGTCAAATTGACCGTCGAAAAAATTGTTTTTGTTCCTTATTTTTAGTAAATCATTTTTGCCAGATATTACCAGAGATTCGTAATCTGGCTGTTGTTGCGAAAATATTTTGTCACTTTGGAGATAAATTAAATTACGGCTCTTGAGTATCTACTGTAGTTTTCTTTTCTTCAATAAACATATCCTGGCTAGCACCAGCGGAAGTTATCAAAGTTTGGAACTAGCAGACGTGAATTATGTTTGTTTCACCGTTAGGCCTAATGTCGTAATGATTCTTGTTAGCCTAAAAGACGATGTGTACAATCACACACTATCATAGTTCATTAGTTGTATAACAGCCTAAAATATTTGTTATAACCCGTGCCAGCTGATTTCATGAAGATAGAGGCGCCACATGGATCAAATCAACATTGACATTAATGCTATTTGAAATTCAACAATATTACCAAGTCAAAGTTTGTTGTGATTTGTAAGGTAGAAATACAATTGAGGGTACTTTTATCATACAAAAGTGTGAATCTTGACACAGACAGGCCATCCTTGCTTTACTTGTATGTAGACCTAATAGCATAGGTAGTCACCACTACGACATGCAGACCTGTGTCAGTTGTCGGCAGATGTTTGACTTGTGAGAGATTGTATCCAGCCTGCCCCAAGCCCTCAGCACTGAACCAGCTCAAGATGGGTCAGCTGGTAGTAATTGTCCATAGTTTACATATCATCACTATAAACAAAAACTGGCATTACCATAGCGACAGTTTATTTATGTTGACAAGGCTGCTGCCCATGTGTGGAGGGTTACTGCTCCTCTGCCCACAATAGTTGAACATGTGGCTGTTGGACGTTCTCTGTACTGCTGTTGGCAAAATTCAAACAAATATTTAAAGTAAATGTATACAGAGCTGTTGGAGGACAACTTTCAATCTTTGTAGTTTGTTTATTTGTTGCATTACACAGTGATATTTTACAATTCTCATTCCTAAAGAATATTTAGAAACAATTTTACTTGTGTTGAAATTTAAATACAGGGTGACCAGATCAGAGAGCAGGGCTTTAGATTTTGCCCAATTGTCAACCAATATGTCCTAAAGATCTTTTCTATATTGGTAATATAGATTGATGTCCATCAATAGATAAGATCATGATACTTTCCTTATACCATGCCTCAAGCAAAATCACTGCTGAGAGTAGAGTAGACTTGAGTAGGGTGGAGTGAATAGGAGAGATAACATGGTGGGATATGGACCTGTATAGTGAAACCCTATCACAGTTAGACACATGGCTGGGGGGTGAAGTGGGCAGGGAGGGGTGTGTGTACTGGTAGAGAGGGGATGGGGATGTGGCAGGGAGGGGTGTGTGTACTGGTAGAGAGGGAGTGGGGATGTGACAGGGAGGGGTCTCAGCACTGGGCATAGAGGGGGAGGGGATGTGGAAGGGTGGGGGGTTTACTGGGTAGAGAGGGGATGGGGATCTGGCAGGGTGTGTGTGTGTACTGGGTAGAGAGGGGGTGGGGATGTGACAGGGAAGGGTCTCAGCACTGGGCATAGAGGGGTCTCAGCACTGGGCATAGAGGGGTCTCAGCACTGCGCATAGAGGGGTCTCAGTACTGGGCATAGAGGGGTCTCAGCACTGGGCATAGAGGGGGAGGGGATGTGGAAGGGTGGTGGGTGCACTGGGTAGAGAGGGGGTGGGGATGTGGCAGAGTGGGATGTGTACTGGGTAGAGAGGGGGTGGGGATGTGGCAGGGAGGGGTGTGTACTGGGTAGAGAGGGGGTGGGGATGTGGCAGGGAGGGGTGTGTACTGGATAGAGAGGGAGTGGGGATGTGACAGGGTGGGGTGTGTACTGGGTAGAGAGGGGGTGGGGATGTAGCAGGGAGGGGTGTGTACTGGGTAGAGAGGGGGTGGGGATCTGGCAGGGAGGGGTGTGTACTGGGTAGAGAGGGGTGGGGATGTGGCAGAGTGGGATGTGTACTGGGTAGAGAGGGAGTGGGGATGTGGCAGGGTGGGATGTGTACTGGGTAGAGAGGGGGTGGGGATGTGACAGGGAGGGTGTGACAGGGAGGGGGTGGGGATGTGACAGGGAGGGTGTGTGTACTGGGTATAGAGGGGGTGGGGATGTGGCAGGGTGGGGGTGTGTACTGGGTAGAGAGGGGGTGGGGATGTGGCAGGGAGGGGTGTGTACTGGGTAGAGAAGGGGTGGGGATGTGGCAGGGAGGGGTGTGTACTGGGTAGAGAGGGGTGGGGATGTGGCAGAGTGGGATGTGTACTGGGTAGAGAGGGAGTGGGGATGTGGCAGGGAGGGGTGTGTACTGGGTAGAGAGGGGGTGGGGATGTGGCAGGGAGGGCTGTGTACTGGATAGAGAGGGAGTGGGGATGTGACAGGGTGGGGTGTGTACTGGGTATAGAGGGGGTGGTGATGTGGCAGAGAGGGGTTGTGTACTGGGTAGAGAGGGGGTGGGGATGTGGCAGGGAGGGGTTGTGTACTGGGTATAGAGGGGGTGGGGATGTGGCAGGGAGGGGTTGTGTACTGGGTAGAGAGGGGGTGGGGATGTGACAGGGTGGGGTGTGGCAGAGAGGGTTGGGGATGTGGCAGGGAGGGGTCTATGTGCTGGGTATAGAGGTGTGAGGGAGGGGGGTGTGTACTGGGTATAGATGCATGTTGAGTATGTAGCAGGTAGCACCTGGTGTTATCAGTACATGGACAGTGATTTATGTACTAAATAATCATGTCTTTGTAACACCACTTCCTATGGCTGGCAGTTGTGTGGACACGTGGTCTAGACACACAATGTTGACATTCATTCATATGCTGGTGATCACAGTATCCTGTTGATAAACCACAACCAATCTTTTCATCTGTCCAGGGAGGGATGGCACAGGCAATGACAGTGAACTATGATTCATTAGGGGCTTATCCTAACATCAACTGGGCTGTATAGTCCAGGGATACTATATTCCTAAAACAGACACACAACCAGATCATCTTCTACAGAGCAGTGTGCACAATGACAGGCCTGGGTTATTGTGCCCTGAATTTAACATTAAATGACCATCCATTTCTGAGCTATATGTGTCTCCTGGCCCTGTTTTCTGATACCTGGCCCACCGTTTTCACTGGTAATTGGTCACTTGACTCCTCACAGAGATGTGTGTTGAATCTGATGTATTGGCTCTGTAATGAGTGCTGGATGTCCTGTCACTGAAACAGTAGTCATGGTGACTGTCGTCACATCCCGGCAGGAGGCAAGAAGTAAGTGATTCATAAACCCCCACAATGGTTTGTAGAACTGATTCGGTATAGATTAATGAAGAAACAGTCCATTTACCGTAGGTCATCATTTCCATGTTGTAAAAAGAGCTTTTCCTATAAGAACTTTTGTCTTCCTCTGAGAGAGAGAGAGAGAGAGAGAACTTTTGTCTTCCTCTGAGAGAGAGAGAGAGAGAGAGAGAGAGAGAGAGAGAGAGAGAGACCAGGTGTTCAGTGTGACGGGCGATCGCCTTAACAACCAGGTTACCCCCTCCCCAACAGCCCAGTCTGCCTCTTACAGGGCCACACTTTCCAAGGAAGCAATCAGAGATGACAAAAGTCCACCTTTATTCATCAAACATGTTCCAACTACAGCAACAACATATACCTGATGCGTGATTTGACTGAGAACTGCTGGAGTACTGCTGTCACACACAGACACATCTTCCCTGGCATGAAACATAATCATACACAGTCACAACACATCAGAAATCTTGAGAACAGGCTCCTCAATGGACAAAACATAATATTGTTTTATGGATAAACCTGCTTTTAATGGTGCCAAGAAAATCAGTAAAATGGAAATAAAACTGGTGACTCATTGTACAGTTCAAATGAAAGAATGGTAAAGTAGATATGATAAAAACTTGGTTAAGATGAAATATGATCGGCTACTAATTGGTTTAAATGCTTGTCACAGACAGGTTCCAGCTAGGTAGTGTAGACTGACTGCATGAACTGTTTGATGTTGGCCATCCTCCGATGATATCTGTTTCCACTACAAATGCAATGCAGGGACAAGGTGTGGCGAGGTCAACTCTTCGAGCTGGTCTTTGAACCAAATGGAATCAGTTTGCTCATCCAGGAGTCCCTGAGATAGAAAACACAACTGATTAAAATCAGACATCCTACAGGAAACAAAGGCTTCAAATATCTGAACTTAATTCACTCTTCGGAAGTGACAAATTCTCTGGTAGTTCATCACATCAGACATGTGACAGACATCTTACAAACTGTTGACCTTGCATGGCCTTCAGGAAATTTCAATTTTGAATCGCTCTCTCTACACTGACATGTATGAGGTCCATGTCGACCTTGCTTGACACCAGGGTATCACAGGTCCGAAGGCCATCACGGAATGAAAGAAAACAATCAAATCCACTGGACATCCACTGGTACTTTGGGACAGGGACGACCTGATGTGATCCCCGGAAATAATGAGCCTCACAATGCCAGCTGCTTATCAAACAAAGATGTCTGTCAGCTCCTGCTGGGAATCATATGGTGTCACTACCTACCCACGTGTCTGCGTATCTCAACCAGATAGCAACTCTTTGTCCTATCATTATCAAAATAATTTGATCAGTATGGAAATTAATTTATCAACCATGTCTGTGAAATTGGTGAACTACTGATATGAAGGGGAAATACCACACTTACTCTGTTTGATGCTCTGCAGTTCCTTCTGAAAAGACAAACGTGGATCCAGGATTAGTCATCTTTCCTAAATGTATACTACTCAAAACAATTTAGAGAAAACCTACAATTGGAAGGCTGTCTGTTGCAGTATGCACCAGCCATGACATATTAACCATAGTCATGAAACACTGGGGGTGTTCCAGGGTTTTAGTATTGTACACTACTCACAAATGTGCATAAAGTACGCACAAAAATGTAGAGAATGAATGCAGAAAAAACAACAACACTGCGTCCCGAGGGATGCGCAATGATATTCATTGTACCTGCAGTACAAGAGCAGTTATAGGTGTCATTTCATCCATCAATCATGACCACTGTCCAGATGGTCATTGATTCATTCCACACTCTAAAGTAATTATCTAAACGTACAGTACACTACATGTTGCCAGCAAGGACCCCCAATATTACTTATTGAGGGTCCCCGCCCCCCCTTCTTCTGTAAGTCAAGGTGAAACCCTGGTGGTATTTAACTTGTATATGTTGTAATTACTTCTTTCATATAAACAGTCCTGACCTGTGTCGGGTAAGGTGTGTACAGGATTCGGGTGTTTTTAATGTACTAGTTTTTTATCTTTGCAAGATTCTGCCTATTTATGGTCAGTGAAGTGTCTTCACAATTTCCATCTCTTAACACTTTCCACAGAATTTTGTTGCGCATGAGTTTGATATAACAGCCAATCAATATGAATGAGTTTGGCATGGATCTTCATTCAAATTGGCCGCCTCGAAGGAGAGTGTCTTCAATTCATTTATTCAGTATAGAAGACTGTTATGCGTGAACTTGTGGCTGGAAAAGCCATTTTCTCGCATAATGAGAGAGTAGGAGGGAAGTCCTTATAGCACCAGGCGTTCCTGGATGTGTTTGAGATGGTACACAACATTGTGTCATGTGAAAAGGACTCAATATAAACCAGAGTGGAGAAGAAGGGGTGTTGATGGTAAAAGAATTGGAAAATATAATACACTGGATAAATGAGGATGATCTGATCATGTCTAAAGCCGGTTCAAGTCTAAATGGGGTGGGCTGGGGTGTGGTGGGGTGGGGTGGGGTGGGGTGGGGTGGTAGGTCTAGTTGCAGGGAATCTGCACAGTGCAGGTGGTGCTTGTGGAGTAAGGGATGTGTGCTTGAATCTTAGACTGTATATTATCCTTGGACAAAGAAGATGTTGAGCTTATTGTATGCCCATTATCTTTTTGAGGGGATTTCTCACATGAAAGTCTGTGATTGATGTATTATAGGGATCATCACTGGTATGCATTATGTTCTCTCTCTAGCCCAGAATAATGATAATAAATGGGAAAATGTAATCTTCTGCTGTACCATGAGATGGATGTCTTTCTGCATGCAGCTTGGTTGCCGTCTGCTTTGTGATCCTCTATCTTTATCATGTGACTGCAGTGTTTTACTTGGTTGAGATTGATGTTAATGGCTTCATCAGCCAATAGGGGTGAATAACAAAAACATAACCGTGACTTTACGTCAAGCAACAGTGCCACATCCACCACCAGACAAACTGTTAACTATCAAAGGGATGTCATATGACGCTTACCTAAATATATGATATGTATCATGAACCCTACTCTCGATAAGATGAATATGACAAGACAGACACAGGGTTTCATGCGACGGTCAAATATGCCTCCAGTTTGCACAAATGTTAGCCTGGACACAGAAAAAGAATATACTGCGTCCCGAGGGACGCACAGTAATATTCATTGTACCCAGTGTGCATCAGGAGCAGATAGGGGTGTCTGTCATTTCATCCATCAATCAGGACCTCGGTCCACATGGCCCTTGATTCATCCCAGGCTCTACAGTAATTATCTGAACATGCAGTTCACTACATCATTTCATTACTTTACAGGACCCTCACATTGCCTGAATGGATCCTTCAAATTAATTACTGGGGTCCCCAGGACCCCTACTTTTGCAGGTCAAGATAAAACCCTGCAGACATTTGCAGTATTTAGTTTATTTACAATAATGGATATTCAAAATCATCACAGAATTTAACATTATTGGAACTTATAGTTTAAGAAATTTAAGCCATATTTGTTTCTATTTGATCAATGTTGCACCAATTGAGATTTGTCGTCATAAATTTGTTGACAGATTGAAAATGATGAATAATTAATTGACAGTTATCATAATGCATTCATAATGAATATTGACACCATGAATACATTTATGTGACCAGTGAGATGTTGTAAGTTTCAACTGCATGTGTTTTGATCCATGAAGACCCGGGTTAGAACAGGTCTTCAGAAACCCATGCTTGCCCTAAAAGGCGACTATGCTTGTCGTAAGAGGCGACTAACGGGATCAGGTGGTCAGGCTCGCTGACTTGGTTGAAGCATGTCATCGAACCCAATTGCATGGACTGATGCTCATGATGTCAATCACTATTGCTGAGTTCGGCAAACAAACAAACAAAAAGCATGCATTTCTGTCCATGTGTCTTGGTAAGCAAGATGTTACCTGAGAGATCCTGAATGAACTGCTGAGTGAAGACCTCCTTCAGTGGCCTGGTGGGGTTCTCCTTGGCGTGTTTGTCACGAGCCTTGTGCATAGCCTGGCCTAAGGTGAGGCCCACCCACTCGGCCTCCTCTTCCTGGAAGTGAGAGGAGTAGTTAGTACAATGTAGCAGTCACACAGCAGCAGGAAGTTAAGTGGATACAAAAAATATGTCCATGATTGGACTATAAGCTAAAGAGGAATATCCATCAGCAGTGTCACAAGATAAATACCTACCATATCGATACGTGTTGTGATACTTGATTTATGCCATTTTTTGCATAAGATTCCCCCTGATTGCAAGACTTGGAAATTTTAGGCTTGTTATAATAGTATGATGCAAAATTTAAGATTTAGCATTTTCTTTTTTGTCAACACAAGCCCAAGTAGTCATTGCAAGACTTTGGAAATATATATGTTTATATTATACAATAAAATCATTTAGAAATGGGTAACCATCGGTAGGGCAGTCATGACATGCCTACCTCACTGATACAGAGTGATTAAGATACTTCTTTGTGCTGTTTCTGCATGAAAGTCCCTATGTTCGCAAGACTTTTACGTTTTAAGCTTGTATAAGAGTATAAGGGAACAGATTTAGCATTTTGTTTCAAGACTGGTGGTAAGTTTACATTAGCCTAAGTAGTTAAGGCAAAACTTTGGAAATATTATTTTGTGGTAAGTGATACAGAATGAAATCATGAATCAATACATGAACAGGTGAATACAGGTATAGATGCCTCATATGGTCAGTTGTGAATGCCCAATACATCAATGAATCGTTACACCCCTACCAACTGCCTACCATTCTTCTATGATAGTCACATCACTTTGGAGGGCTCCTAGACAGGCATAGGGTAGTGGAGACCAACTCGGGTATGGAATCCCTACAGGGCTTGTATGAAATAGGGACGATCACCTGCCCAGCCAACCTGCATTACGGTCACTTACACTGACATATGAAATCTTTAATTACACAATACATTTCTCTCTAATTATATTTCCTGATGCGGATTTCATGGTATAGAGCTGGCTAGAGACTTGTTGTTTCATAATCTTTACTGATTTTGGTTTCAGAACATACATATAGTCTGGTCATGCTGAAGGGTTGTGCGTCACTGATAGTACTTAGATATGCCACCCACAGATTCATTCACTACAGTCATAAGAACTCAAAGGAACCACTAAGGCTTAAAAAAATAAAGGCAAAGGTAAAGGTTCTCAGGCAGTTTTTTTTGTAAAATATAGTGTGGGCGGGCGTTGTCTTTTTTTTGGTGTGTGTGTGTGTGTGTGTGTGTGTGTGTGTGTGTGTGTGTGTGTGTGTGTGTGTGTGTGTGTGTGTGTGTGTGTGTGTGTGTCGCAGTTTGACTTGGAATATTTGAGGATTTTTTAATTTATTTAAAAAAAAAATGGAAATAGAAACGAAACGTGCCGCAAACTTTATGATGATGCGGGCGGTGCCTGAGAACCAAGACTTTTTTTTAGCCTAATATTAGTTGGTTATAACCATAGTTCTTTACAAGCATATGTTCAGCATATATACAGCAAATGGCCTTGACCCAAACATAAGTTTGGTATATCCGTCGGTTTGTTATAAGTGTGCTCGTTAAAACTGTGTGACAAAAAGCATGGTGGCCTACTGTTTGAAACAGATTTGAGTTTCAATCCTTAAGTCACATAGGAATGACTTCTGTCCTGTTCTGCCAGTTAAAATTCTTAACACTGGTATGTCTGCAGTAACAAATGTCCAATTTGTTAGCTGCCAAGTTGAGGTGTTTTATGGTGCCAGCAACCATTTTTGACCAGTGACTAACACAGTTTACAACTTACAGAGTCTGGAGACTGTCTTACCAAGTAATAAATCAGTGGCTGCCTAGATAGTGAATAACCAACAGAACACTAATTGGAAACTCAACTCTTCCAAGGAAACTGAAATGGACCAAGGTCAAGCATGTCATGGATGACCATGAGCGTCAGATGGTATTCTAGCCTGGGTGTTGGCCGGAGCCATAATTCACCTGCCCCCACTGCCCTAGTGGTGCAAACAGGAAGGTTTTATAGATGGCACCGACCATGCCTGACTGTTCTGTTCCAGTTAAAGAGGATATTGGGTGTAAATTGGCTGTTAATTCCTGCTGTTCTTGACTGACCGCTGTGCATGGTGTGCACACTTCCTGTTGTTGATGACAGACTTACATAGTCAGTGCTTCTGTACTGTCAAGAGGTCACCTGACATTTGAACGTGTTATGCGTTTAAAATACTTAGTCATATGTCGAGATGAGCAGATATGGCATGAATGAAACATGTTCTATAACAACCCCTCCCGTCTGTACTATCCACTCCTGTCTGTACTCAATGCAGTTTGTCTGTCATACAGACCCTGAAAAAAATATATCCATTACAGCCCATGCAAGTATATAATATTTGACAAGTCTAGATTACTGCAACATCTGAAGAGGAAGAAAGACTCTCAGCTCCTTTTTACTATACATGTATTTTATAACTATAAGTTAACAAAAACAATTCTGTAAATTATGTTTATTTCAGAGACTAGATGTTAGTCTACAATGCAGTGTACACAATGCTATATGCTAGGAGGTGAGGTGAAACGGGGTCTAACGTCGTGTTCACGATTATTGCACTTGTATAAGTGTGGGGTGTCTTATTAGCCCACTGAGATACCACGCCGCAGTGGATGTCCAAATGACAGTATACTGACTCCGAGCTGTCCTTGTTTTATCCCCTAATGCCGAGTACCAGACTGGGTAACAAGTACCATCTTCTGACATCTTTTGGTATGACACGTCCAGGGATCAAACCACTACCCTTCCGCTATCCATGCAGATGATCTAACCACTAGACCACCAAGGCGGTCGACCTTAAATGATTAGAAGCATACACAAAAAGGGAATGTGTCAGTGCACCAACAATGATTAACTTATTCACAAATATGTCCATAAAACATTAATATAATTCTTCCAAAAACTAACATCAGTAATAATCCTGTATGTTTGAGCAGAGCCCATAGAAGTCTGTGGTTCACGAGGTACACAATCAGATAAGGCCAATCTGTAGTAATCCTTATAATTCTTTCAAGGAAAGGCTCAGCAATATAAAACTCTTCATTTTGAAATTGTCTGATGTATAAGATGATACAGACGCCTAATTGAAATGTTGCCAAATCCCTATTTTCAAACGGATGCAAACAGCCATCCCAAACATTGATGTCACAGGGTTGCTATCACTGAACAATAATCTGACACAATAGTCTGCCCTGCCCCCGCAAAGCTGTAGGAAGTCCAAGGATAATATCCCTGCCCCCTTCAAGTCCATGCTAGTCCCTAGGACATGACATAAGCCTGGTGTTAGCCCCATGCTAAATATTACATAGTCAAGAGCTACTTGTATAGGGTTTATCACATACTTCAAACTTGTTGCCTTTGACAAGGATTAGTGAGAGAGTCAAACATCAAAGGCTGGCGGCCTGGACATCCAAATTGAGATGTTCGGAATTGCTTTAGCAAACAATGATCACCTGCCCATAGTAAAGATGGTCTTAACTTCAATTGCACAGAATCAATTCCCTTTTTTACTTGGCTTTAATGAAGCCCCTGAGAATTGACTGAGAATGCCTCTGCTGAGATAAGTGGTGTTATTCCCAATGATATAACGTAATGGTACCATGGAGCAAGACAGAGGGTGTGGGGACAAAACTAGATCAAGCGTGGATGCAGCTTTGGGAAAATGAGGGGTACATTGTGAGAGTACAAGTTAACGTACAGTGTTAGATGAATACACATACCGTATTCTACGTAATAAGCGCCCAGGGCGCTCTCAAAATTAGAAATAGGGGGCTCTTATTAGAATTATTCGTGGAAAAAAGAGAGTTGAAAGATAAATTTCGTGGTTTATGCTGACACACTGAAATGTTTATATGCGACAGATACATTTTTCCAGCATTTAATTGCCCATAATTAAGAATGCATATAACACACCAGTGCGTAATGTACGCGAATAAATAAGTCTTGTGTACATTGATCAATCGGAAGGAGTGCTAATTGGAATTGTTCACGAGCCAATATATTAGCAAATATCTCTGTGGGCGCTTATTAGAGTGGGGCGCTTATTACGTCAAATACGGTAATCCAGGAAGCGATTATTATGTGATGTGTCAATCTATTATGGTAATAAACAAATCAAATTAGTTACAGTGTATTTTACTTTAACAATTAGTAAACCCATCAGGTACCATCATGGGTCATATCCAACTTGTCTGCAGCTCAATTAGGACAAGAGATTTTTTGTAAAATTACTAGATTTTTGGATGAAGGCAACTCTCCCCTCTTGATTTTCACTTGTCTTGGACCAACGGCCTAATGGCCACACGGATCAATGCTCATGATGTCAACCACTGGATTGTCTGGTCCATACTTGATTATTTATAGACTGCTGTCATATAGCTGGAATATTGCTGAGTTCAATGTTAAAAAAACAAACAAACATTTGAAGTGAAGAGTGAGCAGGCTTGATGGGATAGAGACAATATTTATTCAACGATTGTTGACTGGTATTATGTTCCGGGGTTGACACATAGAAATATGTACCAGGCGAGAGCTTCAATAAAAGGACTGACCCATTAATCATGTTATAAGGAAATATGCTGGTGTTGAAAGCCTATTTCAAAGTAAGCCAATGTACATTAACAGCATCCATCGCAGCCAAGCAGAATGGGCACTGTGGCCACTGAACTGATAGTGGTAACTGATGAAGCTAGAACATTCACACAATGAAAATAAAACATGAACAACAAATCTGATATATGCATTAATAAAACTGAAGATTGAATAGATAAACCATGGGACAGTGAAGAAACTGTATTTGGGCTCAATAGTGTGGTTCTGAACATGTTTTTTTATGTTTTCAACTGTAATTCTTTTTTTACTGACAATTGATTTGAATTTATGAAAACATATTTTAGGCAGAGGCTTGATACTGACAATGAATGTTTGGTATAGTGAGAGACAAGCAACTCCATCAAAATCATGAAGTATGACATTAACCTTAAAATGAACAAATTATTTAAAATGTAGGTGTGA